CAAAATCATCACGAACGGCCGATGTTTGCGGATAGAACTGACGTGGAGGTTAGGCGGCCGAGGCGTCTGCTCCGGGGTCCACGGTCACGTCGCATAACGTTACCGCACGAATACGTAAACATCTGTTAAAGACTGGATGTTTGATACTTTTCATAAATCTTAGCTACATTTCGGAGCAAATAGAACTTCGAGAAAAAAGACCCATCTCTCAATCAGCGATCGTGTAGGGGATCCCTATAAAGCCAGGCGTAGATGCAACAAAGGAGACATCGCAAAGCTCATATCAAAAACATAGTGACATCCAAAAAACTCGGCTACAACTGCTGCCTGCGAAAAGAAGACATTGGGACAAGACGACTTAACGGTGCTCTTCCCCATCATGACTTTAGAACCTGGGTTTTCTGGTGAATGTATGGTGCTCGGCGGCGCCATGTAACGCTGACGTTTCACGAGAACCAACCCTGGTTACATTCGGTGTAAGAGCGAAGCAAAGTGTCTCACCCGAAGTCTCACTGCCACCTCTTTACCAGAATCACCAATGTAGCCAAGGTTTAACAGGTGAAAATTGCAAATCTTCACCGCCCCAAAACTTCAACTTTACTTTAACATCAGTCTCGGTTACATTTGCTGTCAGCCCGAAGCAGACATTAAAACTTGCCGACGCTCCAACGCCTGTCACCACGATCACCATTGTAGCCAGGTTTGCCTGGTGAAAGCGGTGTTTTGCGGCGCTATGTAACGCTGACGTTTCACCAGCATCAATCCTGGTTACATTCGGTGTCCAAGTGAAGCAAAGTGTCTCACCAGAAGTCTCTCTGCCGCTCTTCACCAGAACCACCAATGTAGCCAAGGTTTAACAGGTGAAAATTGCAAATCTTTACCGCCCCAAAACTTATACTTTACTTTTACGTCAGTATCGGTTACATTTAGGGATTTAAAATTACCGGTTATATAAAATTTCTCGGTAATTTACCGTAAATTACCGTAAATTACGGTAATTTTAGGTAATATTTGGTAATATTTGGTTTCTTATCAAAGTCAGGTACTAGTAGCTACAAGCTTGTGATGAGGCACCTTAGGTTCCAGCGGAACATGCTTCCGCGATTTGCCCTTGTACTAAACATCGTTTTGGGAATTTTTCTGGGGATTTTTTTTTTCAATAGCTGTGTTCTTTCCTGCATTACCCTTCTTTCCAGAATTGTTTTTCTGTATGTTGTCAGTTTATCCGTCGGGTGGCTTTCACGTACGAAAAATGAAGTTTTTTTTGTTTGTATATCTAACTTCTATTCATCTTGAAATAAAGCAAAAAGCAAAAACTTTCCAAAATTGACATATTGTCTAACCCCCTACATTATATTAGTCACTACTATTTTCTCTTACAACTCTTTAAAACTAATGATATCTAGACCATTGACATGCGATCCCCCCATGACATAAATTAAATACTTGAGGCAAATTACATCCGCAGGGGGAAGTAAGGTAGAGAAATACTCTACTTTGTTAAGTTTTACGAGAAACCTATTAGATTTAATAAACGCTGCTAATTTCATCTTCTTCTTCATAGCCTCATCTGTTTCATCTTCCTTCGAACACCTGTAAACAATATGCTGCTTGGCATTGTTAGTCTGGACCATTCCACACAGAGGGCAAGCATACGTCTTGGTCTTCGTGTCGGTAAAATCAGCGTTTCAAGACTGAAAAAGAGTAAAAATTAAATTAATACGCAATTAAATCTAACATGGATGGTAGATTACTGCAATATATTAATTAGAAAAATCAAACCTTTTGTCTTTGTGAGAGTGGGAAGACCTCATGAGCGGTATCAATAATCTGGCGGTCTCCTTCAGTTTTCGCATAAGTCAGCGCTTCATCCTCTGCTAGGACCAGTCCTCCGACATACGTTAACATTATGTTGAAAACTGTTCTTCCAGCTGCCGTCTGGAAATTCCCCACAATAGTGTCCATAGCAGAGTGATCCACGAGAAGAAGACCCTTGGCCTGCAAATTCTCCCACGTGTCCACTTTTTGGCGAGCAGCTAACAGAGTTGTGTCAGACTTGAAGTGGCTAAGTTCTGGCGAGGTAAACCACTCACCACTGTAACCGATTCCCTAAACAAAACACAAAATCGAAACAGATTATAAATGAAAGGGAAAGGAAACGGCACGTTATTAACAACGAAACGACACCTACCGATAGCATCTGAAGCACGACTTCGTCGTCAACAAAGTCAGCAAATGAAAGGCATGTCGGCGGCGCGACTTAATTCGGCAGCCTTTTGCTTGAACTAGAACATAAACATAAAAAAAAATGTCTATTGCTGGACCCAAAAAATAAATTGAATAAGGAAAACTAAGAGATTTAAAGAAAATGTTTAAAGAATACCTGAGATTGAGCCTGAGATAGAGCCTCTTCGGTGCCTACGAGTTCTGTCGGTTCTTGGTTTTGGCAACATGTGTTGCATTGCGTGGCCACATCCCGCCGCTCAACATTCTGAAAACGAAATTCATATTATTTGACAATTGGATTTATTAGATGTGGAGAAATGAAGTAAAAGTGTTTATGGCACTTGCACCCCTCCGTGGTTCTGAAGACAGGGGGTTGAGCGTGTTATAAAATTCCCAGGTTGGAAGGCTGCACGTAAAAGTCACATTTTCCCAATACAGATGCTCAGAGAGACACGAAATATGAATAGAAAAATGCAAGCCATGCTACCTGGCCTAAAAGGAGATTCTAGAGGGTACAATAAATTTTGGAGACCCCACCCCTCCTCTAAATTACGCATAATAACGTTCAAACGTGCAATAGAAGATAATTAAATCGAGGCTAAAAATAATGGACCGCTAATTTTAGTGTTTAGTCTGAAGAAAATTTAACTAATAACATGACAAAACGACTTCCATTAGTCTGGCGACCCAAGCTTGGTTTCTCGCCCTCAACCTGTTAAAAAACAAAGCCCCAACTGTAAATGCTGAATTACTGTGGAGTCGGAAAATTAACAATATTCACCTGCTCTTTTACTCCTGTGGCTGCTTTTCTCTTTTTGGCAGGAGGCTGCTGCACACTAGTTTCAGGTTTCTGAACAGTAGTCTCAGCAGGTTTTCCCGTTGACTTGGTGGTTGACCGTGTCACGCGAGAAGACATTCCGGAAAACAGTTTTCAATCAGTTTGGATAAAGAGTGCCACCATGAATCAGCCGCATCCGAGACGGAAATGATTCCAGAATAAACGAAATTAAGGATATAAGCTATGCAATGCGTTCTTTCACCTCGTAATATAGGTTATTTAATATGTTATAATTTAACCGGTTGGAAAGAACTAGCCGGTAAACGTGTCTCTGGGTTTTGTCATTAAGTTTTTCCTACTTCTTGCCGGACCTATAATTATCCACGTGCCACCTAGCTGCGTAGTCCAGTGCGTAGTCTTGTAGCCAACTAGCCCAGGGGTCTGTCTTAAACTCGAGCTATTTGCCATCCGCGGTAGGATAGGCCACCCGCAGTATCCCTTCTCGCGGGCAGGGCTCGGCACGGTTGTCCCGCCCCCACCCCGCGGTGTCGAGCCAGCCTCGAGAGCGCGCGTGTCCACCGGGTGGCCGCCGCGGCAGGCAGAGAGAAGTGTCTAACGGCACACATGGGGAACAAAAGCCAAAGTCTCGTAGATTCAAACTCAATTGGGTATTTCATTGGAGCGCTGCCCGGAACGACGAGCAGAAACAGACACAGAGAGCGGTAGTGGGGGCGGGCGCGCGGTGGAGCGGTGGGTGGAGGGGGAGCCCCCCTCCCCCTTCTTCTTGCTTCCGGGCAGCGCTCCATTGAAATACCCTATGCAATTGGATATCTGCGAACTCTTGGCGTGAGGTCAGTAGGGTGTTCCACCCGGACCGGAACTAAGAAGCAAAGAAAACAAACGCGGATACGGAGAAGGTCGATGGTGGGGGTAGGCGAGCAGAGTTTTAAATGTGAAATGAATGTAAATAAAGTTGCAAAGAATTCCAATATATTTTCAATTTAATTTAACCACCATCCTTTTGTATCCTATCACTCGTGTGATTCAAAGTGAATGATACTAAAAATGGTTTCATATATAAAGATGTAATACACTAAAGTTTGTTTGCCTAAAAGCAATGAAAACAAGCCAATATAACCGGTTATGTGTTTAGCCTTCACTTTCTGGTTTGGCTTACTGCTTGTTTCTTAAAGTGTGGGGATAATGAAAGTCTGGTAGAAATGGACACCGGAAGCCGTTCACTTGCACCCAAATTTTGTTTGGTTGGCCGTGAGCAACTTCCGGTGCGGATCTTTGTCAATAGCGATGTTCTTTTCATTTTCAGTTTGTTGTTTTGAAAAATATTCTGGCAACCTCTCTAGTGGCAACGTAAAATAAGACATGTACTATTTGTAAGTAAAATTTTATTGTCATATGAAATAAAACTTGAATTGTAGCACCATAACAGAATTTGGAGTACATTATTAATACAAACCCAAATTCTTTTTAAAAACATAAATTGACATGTAATTAAAAGTAGTTTTCAGTTCTGACTGATTAAAAACATAAATTGACATGTAATTAAAAGTAATTTTCAGTTCTGACTGAATGTATGAATGTATCATTACTTTGTGTTAGTTGATACTATAACAAAACCATTGTGGATAGGTTATTAACCCATTGGTTGATTTGTTCCAGAGACCTCCTTTTGTTGATGCTGAGCAGTCTGTTCTTCGTAAATGGATACAGAACAAGGCCTGTTACCGACTTTACACGTGATAATCCTACATGTGTAATTCCTGTGGCCATTTCTCTTGGACCAATGTTGAGGACAACCTGTAAATATATCATAAAGTTTTTAGTATCATTTTAATTTGTTAGATGACTTAATATGTTGTTGTTGGTTTCCACGTCAAGTTGTAGGCACCATTGTTAATTATGATGACAGTAGCAAGTTAATTTTCTAATTTTGTTTTACAATACTGCGCAACTTAGAACTGTGAACGTTTTATAGCAGCACACCCACACACTGTCTGTAATAATTAATACTATCATTGCGTTTTTCGCCATTTGGTAGAAATGGTTTGGATAAAATGCATGACAGAAATATGTTTTAATTCTATTGTTGTAGTTCTAGATTGTACTTACTTTTTCTAGTAGTGTGAGACTCTGAGATTGATGAATGGAACATGCATAACACAACACAGTTGGAAATTGAGTTCTTGTCATGTTTTCTCCTGAAACATTCCAAGATTTTGTTAGTACAGTAATGGGGAAAGTTTTTTGGTCATTGTCCAGGTATGGTCCATCGTAATTGTCAAAGCGAACTATGATGATTGCAGGTGCTTCATAAGGTGGGTTTTTGTCCTCTTCATACACAATGTCAACAATTGTTCCCATAGCTCCATTAACGAGACCTTTTTCTGTCCACAGATTACTTTTAAGCATGATTCTTGCATTTTTGGCCAAATATAAAACTGGATGCAACCCTTCTGCTTCTGTGACAGTGCCAAGTTCAGCCCTTTTCGTGTTATGCATTGCTGGTACTCTTGCAATTGGCACTTTGCTTCCATATGTGGTTGTTCTCAAGTTACTTAACTTTTCTTTGTTAAGTTATTAACTTCTAATCTTGTGCTGAACAAATGGACAGCATCTTTGAAAGTTGCTCTTTCTGTTGCTGACATTGATGTCGAAGAGCTCTTCTGAAGGAACTTGTAATCATCTTCAGTTATACAACCATCCCCTATATTATTTAAAACTTTCTGAAAATCATTGTCTTTTTGTCTCATAATTTCATCCAAAATTACAGCTCCTTCAAAATTTTCATATAACATCTTTCCTCTCAATGTTTCAAAACTTGATTGGTTGTCAGAGTAGAGGGCTTTGTCTCCAATGGGTGGTAATTGTTTCAAATCTCCAAATATGTACAGGAAACAACCAGCGAAATCATCCCTGTCATTGTCTTTTGCCTGTTCAATTCTTTCTTCTATCATGTGCATTGCTTGGCAACCAACCATACTGAATTCATCAATAATTATGAATTTCACATTTTGTAGTTTCTTTTGGAGACTAGGGTAAGGGGCCCAGTAGTCGACAGTTTAAGAGCAAGGCTTTTCCAAATTGCCTACAACGGAGCGTGGGTGTACGGTAGCGTCAAGGAAAAATTTCGGGGGTGTAGTGAAAGGATCAAACTTTATGCCCCATAGGTCAAAAATGGAAATAAATACATTTTTGTACACAAAAATGTAAACCAAAAAACAATGTTCATTGGCCCAGTAGTCGACACCTTTGGCCCAGTAGTCGACACTGCCTGGCCCAGTAGTCGACACTCTGTCATTTTACCCGGATTGCCGTGTCTGATGGGTCCCTGCCGTCTGGCTAGCCTTCCCCTGCCTCTTGGTCGGCTTTTTGGCCATCAGGGTGTCCTTCTTGGCCCTCTTTGCGAGGTGCTGTTCACCTTCTCCGGCCTTCAGGCGACCTTTTTTGAAATATGGTGAAAAACATTTTTTTCTAGTTCTAAAGAGCGTCGTTTTTTGGCTATATATCGGAAAATAATTTTCTTAGCGCAATTAGTCTAAAATGAAACACTTCTGTCGCGTCAAAGCGCACCTAATAATGTATAGGACGACACGATGTGACATACGCAAACCGGGAAGTGCCGGCAATAGCTTGGTAATTAAACCTTAGTTTGTTACCTAAAATGTCTTGTTGGCAAGCTGAAGGTGTTATCGCACAGCGTATCGACACCTGAGTTACATCCCTATATAAATTCCACACCGGACCGCATATAGCCGCTCCCGGGGTTATGCCCACGGCGGCCCAGGGGGGTAAAAAGTGTCAATTTCCCTCAATGACCAAACCAATGACCCAACTTCGAACCCTTAGAGAGGGGTTGAAGGTCAGACAATGAGTCAGAATGGACTGTGCCGCAAGCTTGGGATATCTTGAGGTACTTTATTCCAGGTATACTTGTTCAATCCCAGTTTTGCACTCCACCCTCCTAGCGGCCAGCCGCCCGGACTAGCGCGACTGCGGCGGTGCAATTGGGGTTCCAACCCCCCCTCCCCCCTCGACCCTTGTGTCTGCTGACACTT